TGTGTGTGTGTGTGTGTGTGTGTGTGTGTGTGTGTGTGTGTGTGTGTTAAATTTTAAAAAAGGTCCATCCCTGCTCAGACACTATAGGACACACATCTCATCTAGTATTTTGTTAAAGGTTGAACCACTTTATTGAATATTCTATATTGGAAAAAAGGAACTTTGCAGGTTAAAATTCAAATGTGGTCTTGTTAAAATATAATATAAAAAAATAAAAATATAGGTTTAAGGTGACTTTATTGTCATTCGCATCACATGTGGTACATGAGGTGGAACAAAATTGTGTACTCAAGGCCCCAGTTACAACCAAAAATAGCAAAAATATAAAGTATAAAAAGAAAGAGTATACAAGGATCTAAGATATACACTAAATAATAATAATGTAAAATAATATGGTGTATTAAACAGCAGCCTGAACATGAGTCTGTTGTGAGCAGTTGGGTATGAAAACAGCAGCTTAAAGGCAAGAGATCAGCAGCATGGATAATCAGCAGCACAGACAAATTGACATATAATGTAAGTTTTACGCTGAAAATCTATCAGAAATTACCCAAAATAGGTATTTTATTCTGCCAAAATGTGATTAAGGCCCATTTCCTGCCCAATGACATGCAACGTCTGACTGAAATGACCCGATGCTCAATGAGACTAACCCGTATAAATAATGGTTGAATGAATGAACATACAAAATTCATGATGACAAGTGACACATATTTGCTGTACACACAAGATAATTGTATCAAAAGATCAATAAGCCTGTCATAATTCTCAGTGTGTCATTTTCTGTTTGGAGGATTATTTTCATGTTTATTTCTTATGGTGTTTAGTTTTGTGGCACGGTGGCACAGTTGGTAGAGCTGCCCCTTCTCAGCGAGAAGGTCGCCCCATCAAATCCTCACCGGGGGCCTTTCTGGGTGGAGTTTGCATGTTCTCTCCGTGCATGCGTGGGTTTTCTCCGGGTACTCCGGTTTCCTCCTACAGACCAAAAACATGCATGTTAGGCTGATTGGTAACTCTAATTGTCTCTAGGTGAGTGAGAGAGTAAATGGTTCGTTTGTCTCTATGTGTCCCTGTGATGGACTGGAGACCTGTCCAGGGTGTCCCCCTGCCTCAGCACAGTGATCGGTACCAGTGAGACCCCGGAGACCCAAAAACGGAAGAAGTGGGTAAAGATAATGGATGGATGGTGTTTAGTTTCTATTTTCTTTACCTCCCCCTCCCCACCACTAAATTTCCACAGTCAGTCCTGCTCCTTGTCTGCCCAGGTGTCTCCACTCATCAGCCCAGTTCTTTGTAGTCCTTCAGCTCCACCTCACTCATCAGTTGATTGTTGTTCACGCCACGTCTGGTTCTCCTCTGTGTTACCTGCAAACAGCTGTGGGTTCTGCTGCCACTGGATGGATTTTACTTAAACTGGCCAACAATAATTATTGAGTTTCCTCTGCAAATGATTCACTGGTGCAGTCGACACTGTTCAAGATGGCTGCCACTTTCAACTGTCTTTGTTCTCTAAAAACATAAATATGGAGCTGGTTCTGTTTGTTTGTTGCCTTGCTTCCCCCTGACCTCGTCTCTGATTCTGAAGCGAAATGAGTAACAGACGAGAAACCGTAACGGAAAGAAAACCAGTTTTTGGAGACTCTGTATCCAAACATAATCTGTTTTTCCTCCCCATCCTGAAATGTTGCTAAAAATGTTGTTCAAAGCGAGCAAAGAAAATGAATGGAGACTTTAAAAAATGTGGTTTAGCTTAGACCTCCATTTGTAAATGTCACAATAAAAACTGAGACACTTTCTCTTTTTTTTTACAAAGACTGAAGTTCTGCGCAAAAAAAAAAAAAAAAGAAGTAAGCAGAATGAGTTTAATTAACAGAGAGCACATAAATCAGTTTGTGGAAGGGGTGAGATACAACTACTCCATGTTGTGTGTGTTTTTTTTTTTAAATTTATTATAAACTCATAAGCCTTTAAATAAAAGTGACCATTTGTCCCGTTCAGTGGCTGGAGGCCTCCCCCTCGTTGTTTTCCAGCAGCGATGACTGTGTTGTTGAGGAGGACCGTCTTTAATTTTATTAATTTGAAGCCCTGAACAAAGTGAGGGGCGCCTAATGAAACAAAACAAGTTGTGAGCTGTGTGGGAGCGCTTTCTTTGTCTCCCTCCGGAGATCCTCGCCTCCTATTGATCCTAAAACACTTCCTGCCGGAAGAACAAATCGACGGGAGCCCTGAGGGGCCAGTGACCGCTCCAACCTCCCACTCATCCACCCTGTTTCCTCTAAATCACATCTGTTTCTGTCCTTAAACATATTCAGCCTACCAAATAATTATTTGATCACCTTTTGCTATTTTAATTCCTCTCCTCTTAAAGCAAAACGTCACAGTTTTTACTTTTCTGCTTCTTTAACAATGGTGGAAGAACACACCACGTGCATTTACACAGCCTGCTCTCTTTCTGTCCAAAACTACACTGAAGTCACTTGGATTTAGATTTTGTAAACTTTGAGTCTCAACCTGATGGCAGGTTTTAAA